TACTTTTGGTGGCTACTGTACGTACGTACAACATAATGATCAGTTATATGTTGATCATCTGACCATCATCTGGGGCCATTTTTAAGGTCCAATTTCAATTCCGTAAATCCGCCGATATGATAAAAAAATTTGATTTATATATTACAAAATTTTTTATAAAAATTTTAAAAAAAATATAATAGCATATCTTTATTTTCTTAATAAAGCTTAATTTAAAAAAAAATACATATGATAAGTGATCTTTATATATCACCGCTATATCGATATTGATCTTGAAAGAATTTTTATCAGGTAATTTACTATACTTATTTTTGTTAAATTTATCGAAAAAAATTCAAAATGTAAATGTAATCGTATACGTAATCGAATTATTAGTTTTTACTAATATGTGCCGTTTTAATCTAACGTCATTTTATATTATATATTGTTCCCGTAATATATTTTTTAAATTAAATCTATCGTTTTGTTATTAGATTCAGTTAAAATCGTAAATAATGAAAGATATGTGTAGAAAAATGGATTTTAATAATATATCATGATAAATAAATCAATTTTTTTAAGACTAAGCCTGGAAATCTAATATGACATAATGATGGTGAATTCGAAAATCGATAATAATGGTGAATTCAAAAATCGATATAATAAATTTAGTTGTTTTTATATCTCACAATACAGCCTATATGACAATAATGACCTGCAATATTTTCATATGGACATGGTAATGATGAAGTAGAGGTGAGAATATCTAACATATGGGGTAATTGTTCCGGTTTAAACAAGTTGGAAACGAGCTTTATTTCCTCCTGTGATAGCCCACAAAATAATTCGTCATCTTGATGTTCATTACGAGAAGAATCGTTATTAGGTGCGACAGAATTTTTATTATTTGTACAGTCTTTCTTTAATTTTGGCCCACGTCTTTTTGGTTGAGCAGAATAAACGCATTCATAATTACGTTTCATGCATTCACTGCACTTTGTAGATTGAACGAAATATGCTACTTTCTTGCATCTAATTTTTAAACGTCTACAAGAATCACACGCTTTAGTAGTGTTTCGTCTGTATTCTGAGGGACTATTTAATCTTGGTGACATTTAGAGATTTTACAAATAAAAATTCGTAAAATCGTACTTTGAAAATCGAAGACTTGATGTATTTATAAACTTTTGATAAAGCAAGTTTGTCGAACAAATATCAGGCGAACCTGTGTGTTCCCTAATAGTAATATCATGAATATATTCTTATATAAGTTGATATATTAATTGAGTCCTTTATTGAAGCAAAAACTAAATATTGTTTAGTTTGATCGACTGTTTCGTACTGTAATCAAAGAAGCAAGATAATCAAATATAATTGAATTACTACATTTAGTATTTTAGAAAACATCATGTATGTATGTATGTCAAGTGTATTAAATTTTTGTAACCCGAATATTCTTTGTTCTTTTTTTAGAAAGGTTTTATCTTATCTTTATTACGTACTGCGAATTCAAATGGTTTTATACCTGTAGAAATTAAAATAAGACTAAGGTTAAGCATTTGTAATTCCTAATTTGCAATATAAAATTTTGTTTTCTGCAGATAAAATGATTTTCCGGTATTTTTCTGGTGCTACTTAATATATCTAAAGTAGCAACCTCAGATGGATCGGCCGTGACATATTTACTAACGCCTCGCTATTTATAAATTTATATAATAATACTACAAGATTTTTGTGCATATTATATACTTATTAAGATAAAATTAATTCCGATTATTGAAACCAATTAGAGTTCTAATTAGAGTTTCAAGTTTCAAACTATTGTAAACTGCTGACTCTGTGATTTACAGAATTAGAGGTATTAAATTTTGACCTTATAATAATATAATTTATACTATTAGTACACTAGTAAGCAGTTACGATACAACGATAATGATTTTATAAATATAATTTATAAAATTAAATAGTATATATAAATGTTTTAAATAATTAATTTTGATATGTTATATTTATATAATGATTATGTTATCCATCCATATTAAAGTTCATCAAAAATTGATATTAACTAGGATAAACGAAAAATAGTTTCAATAACATTAAAGACAAGAACCACGTTGAAAATGAGATGATTTTTTTCTTACAAAGATTCCTACTTGTCTAAGTAGAAGCATCTTTAAACTATTTTTAGACATCAACTAAATCAGTTTATGTGAATCAAGGTTGATTATCTTAACCTACTACAGTCAGGGATTTTACACAATATTGAAATTGATCTGCAATATATTGAAAATTATTCCTGAATCGATTTTTATTTAATAACAAGTGATTTTGATTATCTATAAAAAAACAACAGACAGTTTTAAAAAAAAACCTTCAAAATATTCTTTCAGAAGTTATTCTATGAACGTGGCCTAGGAATCTCTTGGGATCCCTGGGCTTAAAAGGCGGTTGTGCACCAAATAAAAACACATAGAATTAAAGAATTTTCCAATTGCAGATCTTTACCAACAAAAGGGCAATCTATAAAATCGATATCTTCAAATTGGAAAAATTCCTGATTATTCTATCGAAGCTGATCGTTTCTGCAAAAGGCAATTGATTAAGTTGCTGCGTAATATTGTTGTAAAATTTTAAATAAATAATTTTTTTTTTTAATAATAATTTTTCTTTCTTGCAGAATGTAGCATGGAGGTATCGCCGAGTGTATCGCCGAGAGAATTTTCAATTTCTAAAAAAATCAAACTGAGAAAATTATAAATTTAAAATTCTCTTAATTGGATTGTCTATAATAAAAATCATCTGTTGGTTTTATGAATAGCATCCAATAATGTCAAATACATTGGTCATTAGTAGTAATTCCTCCTCTTTAGTCATTTAAGGATAAATGTTAATATAAAAAGATTTGATTCTAAACCGAACAAAAAAATTTATTTCTTTGTAAGAGTGTTCACAAACATTTCAATCATTAAATCAAGGCAAAATTTTAATTAGTCGAAAATTGAATAAATCAAAAAAGTGAGTTACCATTTCAATGAATAAAATCTGGAGGTGCAGACCATCAGACCATCGTTTTTTTAATAGAGTTGCTCTTATTGGTTAAAATTTAGAATCTGCATTTCGCACAATGAATTTTTAACAAGTAGTTCTTCGATTAACCGAATTAATTGCAATAACTTGAGCAACATCTCAATCATTAGCTAATCTTATTGAAGTAAACACCCTAAATCGTTATCTTGTAAAAATGAAACTTTCGTTTATAAAAACTGTGGGCTATTATGAAATCTACGGAAATTTACTTAAACAATGAAATTTAAACAATGAAAATTGGAAATGCCTTTAGGTGAGAAACTTCGGTCATGCATAAACAATTTTGTTCCTGCAGATAACCTAAAAAGCATTACAAGCAATATCGATATTTACAAATGATATTCCATAATAAACTAAATAAAGTTCAAGATCAATTTCGCTTTATATTGGACAATTGCTAACATTATTCATTATTTGATAAGGACATTTTATTTTAATTTTGCTTTTAAGTTTATATTATTATTCTTATGATTTTTTTGATGATTAATATTTGAATAATATTTGAGTCGTGATAAACAATCCAAATTTATAAGAGATTCTTATGATTATTTACCGTACTATTCGAAAAATTGTCAATTATTTTATTCGAAAACATACGTATAGTTCAAAGAATAAACGATGCTGGTGTTGATGTTCAAGCCGGAACAAACATTGCGAATTTGCAGATATACGTAGTACGATTGATGCATATAACATGTATTGATTCTAAAATGAACAATAACAAAAAACAATTAATTTAAATGGAAAAAATATACTTCTTAATATATATAATTGATTATGATATCTCATAAAGGAAATGAAGTGCTTGTTTAACATAGAATCATAATGACGTACTTTGTGAAACCAACAAGTCTTCTGCATTGATAATCTCTGAGTTCTTAACTGTTAGTTGACCTGCATTAGACAGGATAAAAACCGGAATTACTGCTACACAGCAACATGTGGCCTAATTCTTCCATATTCTGACACTAAACTGTAATTCAGTATCAATAAGGTTTGATGCTCATTGCTGTTTCGACAAGATTGTGTCGGTAGCAATTTCATGCACATGCACATAATGGTACTAAGTTCAAAAATCTTACTTATCTATCTTTATATGTGATCTAGCACGAGATGTATAATTAAATAATTTGTAATTAAGTTTATAGTTTAGCAGTTATAGATTCTTACTTTAATTCTATCTTTAGGAAATTCTTGTTTATCACCAATGCGATGCAGCGCTACCATTTAATTAAATAAACAAACCCTTTTTAAGAAACAAACAACCACTAGATTAAGGCAATGGTCAAAAGGTAGTGTATTTATTTCAATCACTCCTTTTAATTCAACACGAATCAGTAATCTTGATGCGTGCATCTGAAGAAAAAAAGGCGAATAGTCGCGAATAAATCTTATCCACGTAAGATATTGTGTGTAACATAGTTAATATAGTTGCAACAATTAACGACTATTAAAAACCAATATATTATATATCGTAAATTATTTAAAAACATTTAAGTAATCGGAAAATGTGTACCAGTTTTGTGACGTAGTTCTTCTGATCTACGAATCAGCTTTCAAGATTAGGTGTAACGTAACACAATCAAGAAGATTCAAACCAAACGTTCGTTCTGCCAAAAATCGCTCATAACTCAAAAATCAGCATAAGAAACCACCTTTTTTGCTCTACTAAAAAGTTTTCGTTGAACAATTTTACTACAAAATCTACTCACCTCTAGCTTTTAACCCTGATCCTAACCCTAATCTTAACGAATTTTAAGAATTTTGCACCAACCTGGTGCACATTTTAAAATTGCAACATGGAAATCAAATCGCGCCACCTGAAGTCCCCAGATAACTGATATCTCGGGGTTAAAAAAAAAAATAATAATTATAGCTTATAATTTAACAACAGAAAAAGTAAATAGGTTATCAAAATAACAAATTCATTCATCATTTCATTCAAGAAAATAATCTGTGCGAAAATAATTAATTGTTCGCAATTATGATAGTAATTTAGCAAGGGTATCATCAATTATTTCATCTCGGTATTTAACAATAAAAGCTAAACCCGCAACATCTTTAGATTTCATAAAACCGGATATAATAATTTTAATCTTACTACGGATGTTCTTGGTGAGATTATATATTATTACCATGCTTGCCTTCCAAAAAGAATTCATAATCTTCAATATCTGGATTGTCAAAACCTGACGTAAAATTTCATTGACTTGGGTGATGCCATTTAAAATTACTGTCTAAGTAGATCGACCAGCTACTGTGTTTCTTCCTTTGGAACACATTTATTTAATACAGTGGCTTGTGTTAATCCAAGAAAAGCATGTAAATTAAAAACTTTTTTGGCATTGTTTTAATTATTATTGATAATTATTTTTTTGTTTGGAGGACATATAGGACAAGTAATTATTTCTATTTTTGAAGGATGATTTATTTCAATTGAAAAGATTATTTCGTCCTTTCTATATTCAATCGTTTTTAAAAATTCAATATACCCATTAGTTTTATTTGATTCATATAAATTCTTATTAGACAGAAATAATATTCGAATATTACGGTATCATATACAACTTTCCATAACGACACAATGCTTAACTAACATTCTGAAAACAGAGCCTTATTTGATACATATATTTTTTAAGTTGCATCTGGCTTAGGGACGTTAACACTCTTAAAACTTGATTGGTTCAATACGCTTAAGAGTAGTAGGGTTGGTCATTTTGCGTGTTATTAAAATTTAATGTAAGCTACATTTTAGTTCGTGTAAGTTACAATGTAAGTTAAAATTAAAAGATTATACATATTAGCTGCCATCAATAGGAATCAAGCAGATTAAAAATCAATACAACAACTTCCACAGCTTGTATCTCGATGAATTTTGAAGCTATTTTAATAATTCAATAGTCAAAAAAAAAAGTTTAGATGCCAGCTTTTTTTTTTTTTTTTTTGAATACTAAATTATCAAACTAGTTTCAAAATTCATCGAGATACGAGCTGTGAATGTTGAAGTTTTAATTTTTTTAAAAATATCAATGGTTTGATTTCTATTGACAGCAGCCCATATATATTATAAATATTATGAAAGTTTTTACGATTATAATATCTCATATTTGATTGTCTACCTTGGAAATCATCAGTAAATTTTTTAGGATGATAAGTATCGATTATAATCTAAAGATATTAATCGATTAGTAACACTACCGTTGTAAGTAATCGATATAGATTAGAAATTGATAATAATCATATATATGATAAAAATCGATATAGATATAAATCAATAGTTATCATTTATA